GCCGGCTTTGCCATTGTGTCCGCCATTGGTCTTGTGGTCACTCTTACTGACACTCGCGTTGCCCTCACGGCTGGCGAAGTAATTCAATAAAGTGTTGTTTGGTTTCCCTTTCTTCATGTCTTCGGCTGTCAATCACGTGTTCATTGAGTGATGTCTCGTGTCTTAGATGTGAATCAACGACACAATCAGTGAATCAGTGAATCACTGAACGTATCGCACATACAGTCATTGAAAGCCAAACAAACATTTAAATACTGATTGCGTAATCGATTCGCACTTTTCTACACAAATAGTGGCATTTGTTTTGGCGCTTAATGTCCAACCAATACAAGAGCTATGCTTTGCTTTTGGCGCACAGTTTGAGTGTATTATTGGATTCATTGCTTCAATAACTCGCATCAAACGCTATATTTAATTGTTTGTTCAATATATTTGACATATTTATATATAAATGTACTTGTTTGTTTGTCTTTTTGCGTTATGTTCAATATTTATATATAATTTTAATATAAACCCAATTATTGTTAAAACCCATTGTCTCTGCCTCCAAGTAAATCATAATTGCATTGTTTTCACCGAATTTCAATGTTTTCATTGTAGGCACACATTGTGTGTCCACTTCCACGAACTGTTTGGCACCGGACTGGAGGACTGGTCTCTCAAATGACAATTACTGACAATTACTGACAATTACTGCCCATTATATCCAATGGACACACATTTCCTATTCTATACATTCTATTCCTATTCTATTCTACACTCGGATTCCGATTCTTTGGGAGTTTTTATTGAAAATGTCATTATTCTTAATCTCAAAGTACATGCTTTCAGTGTTTTTCTCGCATTTAGTCTTAACATTCACTTTATGTTTAACTTCAATATACCGGTAGTTTGACTAATTGTAAGTTATAAATACTTGCGGTTATCTAAAGTTTATAAATTAAACTCTAAACATACTGTAAGTACGTACAGTACAAATAATATATTGAGTGCATTTGTCATAATAATTTATTGATACTTAACAGTAATTGTAAGTGCAATAGATAATATTTGTGCCCAGTACAATAATTTTGTTGTGTTCCAAGTACAGTATACTTATATAATTTTATTACAATTACGTTTAAATTCATATTTTAATTTATTCTATAATATAATAATTATGTGAAATTTATTGTTTGTTGCTTTTTGGAAATAATTAGTTTTATTTCTATTAATTACATATTTAACTAACTTATATTAAATGTTCAAAAAATAATCAAATTAAGTTAACAGTTTAGCCATTTAATATGAGACAAACTTTGAATTCAAGTAATGATTGTATAGAATAAAGTGGTATTCAAATAGAGTTCATATCATTATTTAAGAGAATCTAATAAACGAGACAATTGTGTAAATGGTATGTAATGTCAAGAACACGGATTGTTGCTCTTGTAATGGTATGTCATAAGTCATGGTCTGCGCCGGTCTTCTAAGCCCACCAACAAGTGTCAGCTCCACAACTGTCACCAAAAAACTACAGCTTATTCTCATATTTCCTATAATTCCCAGACAGAGAACACAAGAATTGTATTCAATTGTTACTAAATCTCCATTTCCCCCAATAAAGTCTAAGATTACTTACTAATAATTTAAATAATTGAATAAATAAATATTAAATACGTTAAATGTTTATATTTTAATTCAATAAGAATTTAAACTATCGCTTATAATTATCATTTGATTAATATTTAGTACAATTGTCATATTTGTCATATTCTGTCAACACAATTTTTGTTTAAAAAGTAGTCTCTGGTAAGTATTAAAATTATCTTAAAATTATCGGTAAATTGTCTATCAATAACTGAAAAATTTCTAACATTGCAGTAGTTTACTATTAGTTATCATTGAATATATATTGATGTTCTTAGAGTTTCGTAAACCTTAATTTTTGATTTGAAATCATGTTAATCATTTTGATTAGGAAGTAATTTATTTTCCTTCAAGTACAAGTTATTATATTTAATATTAAATGAAATTGGTATATAAATATAATTTTAGCCATAAAACTTAGTACCATTATTAGAATTTAACAGTTTTATATGTTATATGTTATACGATACATCTAAATATCAAACTAAATTATTTATATACATTATCTTTATCGAAGTTTTTTATATAAAGTTATTGTTTTCTATAAATTCCAAGAAATCGATTACTTTTACAAATAAAGTCATAAGATATGGACGCAAATGAATTCCGATCGGCCGCTAAGCAACTCGTCGACTATATTGCAGACTATATCGAGAATATTCGTGAGAGAGATGTATTGCCATCAGTAAAACCCGGATATATCAGGGAACTCATCCCAGAGACAGCACCTGAAGATGGAGAGGAATGGAGCGCTATATTTAAAGATATTGAAAGAGTTATAATGCCCGGAGTAAGTGATTTCATAAATTTTTGATTATTCAGCAGTGTAAAGTTTACCAATTTTGTTATGATAGAGTTAAATTAATTAAAAATGTTTAATGTTGTTAAAATGATTTAATCGTAGCTTCTTTGATAAGTAAGAAATAGAAACTGATTTAAAACTCAATTACATTTCTATAAAGTAAAGTAGAGTATATGAAAATGTGAGTATATTATAGGATATCATTAATCGCATGAATAGGTTGTGATAAAAGCTTCTCATCCTTTCTCTACCTCTTTCCTGATGTCATTCTTACAGTGAAATCAATATTAGGTTTATTCAGAGATATCACACTTTCTCTACTCTTTGCGACAAAAATATGTTATAAATAGCTTCTACTGTACTGTATATAAAATTCTTTATACTGTATTTCACATAAAATCAATCTTCACTATCGTTATTAGAGGCGATGATGAGCTTTACTATTATATTCTGTATAGTGTTTGCCTATTATAGACAAAATCAAGTTTTCAATCAATGAAGTGATTTACGGTTCACTCTATTCATGATTTATAATAACTTATTGTATTCTATATTATGTAATAAAATATTCTCTCTTTTCATACTGTAATACAATATTGAATAGGATAAAAATATTGTAACATTGAATTAAGCTTTTGTCATGATTGAATAGATGACACACTGGCACTCACCCCACTTTCACGCATATTTTCCAACAGCTAATTCTTACCCTTCAATCTGTGCTGATATGATGTCCGGTGCACTGGCTGTTATTGGATTTACTTGGGTATGCATCAAATTAGGATGAATCACATTTGTCTAATAAGCAATTAATTGTTTTCAAATTGCAAACAAATAATATTGTAGCTTTATTAAAGCATTCAAACTTGATTAACAAAAAACACATAACTTGCATCCAATTTATCAATCAATGAATTGATTTAATATTCAGATCGCGAGTCCTGCCTGTACTGAGTTGGAGATGCAAATGATGGACTGGTTGGCAAAAATGCTTGATTTACCCCAACATTTCCTCTTTAGCAGCGGTGGAAAGGGAGGCGGAGTAATACAGGGGACGGCAAGTGAGGCCACATTTGTTGCACTTCTCGGCGCAAGAAGTAAAACATTGGCTGAAAACGACAATAACAAGCAATTACTGACTAAATTAGTGGCCTATGCCTCGGATCAGTCACATTCCAGTGTTGAAAGGGCTGGACTTTTAGGTGCCGTTCAGATGAGACTACTGCCGTCGGATGAAAGTTTGAGTTTAAGAGGAGATGTGTTGAGGGAACAGATTAAGAAAGACAGGGCTAACGGGTTGATACCATTCTTCGTTGTGGCCACACTCGGCACCACTAATACGTGTGCTTTCGATCATTTAGTTGAAGTGGGCAAAGTTTGTACGTGTCATACAATTTGTTGTTTGCATAATAAGTTAATCACAATTATTTTGATAACTATTTGTGTGTTTGTGTCAAACAACAGGTGAAGAGGAGAATCTATGGCTACATATCGATGCGGCGTTTGCCGGATCAGCTTTCATTTGTCCTGAATTTAGGCATCATTTAAATGGAGTGGAAGTAAGACTTTGATATAACTTGTTATAAGTTGATCTGAAATTCTAATTTGTCTGACAGTATGCCTCATCATTCAATATGAATCCACACAAATGGCTTCTAATAAACTTCGACTGTTCAACACTTTGGTCTGTATTTGTCTTTTTCTTTCTAATAGATTTTTCTAAGGATTTTGTTAAACTTTGTTAAATGAATTGCTAAATATTTATTTAAGAATTTACTGTATTTATACTGTATTTACAGTATAATGACTCAAAAATACAATTAATTTCATATTAGCTATGAGTGAGTTTGACATTCAATAATAATTATTTATTAATATAATTTATTAATAGAAACGAAAGTAATGACAAAATTTATGCTTAAATTCACAATAATTCGTTCGGAAAGTTATGTTAGACTGGGCTTACAGTATGGCAACGATAGTCATAATCTGTGATATAAATAATATAAGATTTCTTTGAATTCAATTCAATGTCAGTCTAATAATGAAAAAAATTAAATTTATTTTCAAATTCAATTCAAAATCACAATCATTTGGCACAACGTGTAAACGTGTCGATAAAAAATACTTTTAACTCAAATTAATTAATTTTTCCTTTTTTTTCCTTTCCTAAGGATAAGAAATACTGAATATATTGTGGACGCGTTTAATGTAAATCCCGTATATTTGAGACATGATAACCAGGGACAAATACCTGATTACAGGGTTAGTCACTTTAATAATATATATTATAACTGTTTAATAGACAATTAACATTCGGATAATTGTCTCTTTAATATATTAATTGATTGTATTTTATTTTGAATTTAAAATGTCATTTTAAATACCCATTAGAAATACTCAATATTGAATATTTCCTGAAAGTCTTCGAAATTTTTAAAATACTATTTTGACTGACTGATTGTATTTTATTATAAAACTGTCTGAGAATTAATTATTTATAGAATATTTATAGCAACGATTTGCATAATAATCTCAACATAGGAAATATTTTGGCAAATTAGCTAAAATCTATATCAGATTTGAATTATAAATTATTTAGTTAACCATTTGAATAAAATTACACTTTAAGTCTTCTAGTAATCGATTAAATAATGCTTTTAAAAAAGTCCCAATTACTTAAATATTAGATTAACTATTTTTGTTAAGTATTACTGTATATAGTGAGAAATACAGTATTTAATCTGTAATTTATTTGCTTAAAATTCAATATTAACACTATTATTAAGAGATATTAATAAAATTAAGTTTACAGAAATTAATAAGAAATTAATATTAACTTAAAGTAAAATAAAAATATTTCCTGTGATTTATAGTCTGTGATTAAAAATAAAATACTAGTTTTATTGATTATTTTTAAAGTTATTACTAAATAATAATTGAATATTAATAATTTAGTAAAATAATGCATAAAATGTAATTATACAAGTAGAATATTAATAATAAATTCTTGCTACTCAGGGTCATTTCTTTAAGCGTATTTAAATGAAACATTTACTATAATTTTGTAAATTACCCGTTAACTCACAATTGAATGCAAATTACAACAAAATGAACATACAATTACAATTATAAGCAACAAAATGTAATTAATGGGAAAACCACAACTCATTAAGTGAATACACAATTATTGAATAAACTAATTAACAAATGTTTAATTAAACCCAAAGCACTGGCAAATACCACTCGGAAGAAGATTCCGTTCCCTAAAAATGTGGTTTGTTTTCAGAAGTTATGGCATCAAAGGATTGCAAAACTATATCCGAAAAGTATGTCTTACAGGAATTGAATGCATAAAAAAATCAAAAAGTTCGTCAAAATCTAATTGAATTGCACTAAAAGCATGTGGTTTTGGCCAAACATTTCGAGTCATTACTCGCCAAAGACGATCGTTTCGAGTTGACAGCACCGGTAGAGCTGAGTCTCATTTGTTTTAGACTAAG